AACATAAAGTACTCAATGTAAATAAAATGATTTTAATACCATTATAATGCTTGAGGGATTTGGCACCAGATCTCCTCCCTCTGATAATTTTCTTAAGATTTTTTTGGTAATAATGCCCAATTCAATTTGATTTAAGTAGTGTGTCCTTTCCAATTTTCAAATGAAAAGGGAGATTTACCAAGTCAAAATTCCTGCCTTTTTAAATTCACATGCTATATTATACATTATATATTCAAATATTTAACAACTGTTTACTAAGTATGATTGTTATCATTTAAGATAACTAAAAATATAGTGTATCAAGGTATGTATATCCACCGTTAGGCTTAACATTGCAACTTTTACAGTAATAAGAAACCTGGAAATCTAAAAGTATAAAATCTGAACTAATTTTGGTAAAAATATCATGAATTACCTACTCCAGATTTCTATGACAAATAAATCACTTATCCTATATTTTTGAGAATTACCTTTCCAGGATTTAGTACTGATAAAATAAATAGATAAACAGCTATATTTGCAATGTCATAATTTAGTTGTTACTCCCGATGATGATGCTAGGTCTAGATAGTTCATAAAAGTAGTCTTGGAAAGTTCATGATGATGCAGTAATCTACAAATTTCATGGAATTCAGAGAAATGAGAATACATTATAAAAATGAGGAACCAATTCATGAATTCAGCAAAGTTTTTAGTAAGTGGTTCCGTTCAGTATTTAAAATTGGAGTTATCATGTCTATTCTGTTATTCAGTAACATAACAGTTGTGTTATGTTACCTGTAACATAATGATGTCTGAATACTAAACCTATGATATGATTTTAAGAATTTTACTTCTGAGATTTAGGCCTAGACATTACTTAGCATAATATATTTCATTCAATAACAGAAAATAATTCAGTTACTAACCCTTATATTAACTTTAAAACCAAGCGGTCTTAATGCACTGCATAATGATTATAATTCATTCAGTATTCCTTATATCTGTAGCATTCAGGAGTACAAATGTTTGACATATAAGTTTTAAAAGTTTCTTCAAAATGAAAGTTCTGGAAATGTTATGCAGAGAATAAATCAAATTCTAACAGTAAAGGAAAAACAAACACACTAGTAAGCAAATAAAACACATCTTTAATCACATAATTTTGTAAATCTTAACACTTATTGGTTGAAAAGCTTTCCATACACATCCACAAAGGAAAAAGACAAAGAGAATTCTGATTTACCACCAAAACTCTGAGAAAAACTTTAATATGTGGAATACTAGAATTCAAGGTTACATAAACATCTGACTGTTCCAAATAACATTTATAGGAAAGAAAAACCTGTAACTCATACTAATTTGTACAAGTACCTGTACCACCTTTGAGAAGGGCTTAGCTCTACCCAGTGTATTAGGGCCAAAGTGATACGAGTTTCTAGCTGTTAGTTTATGCAAACTTTACATGAGTAAAAGAATTAGTACATGTTTACATTTTCTCAACATCTGTTTAACACTTGTAAGAAAATATGGAAAATTTACCTGAAAATACCTGTCTTAAGATATAATCTAAACTAGTTATGCAAAGGTGTAAGTCGGGACTATTTCAGTCATTACAATCCCTCGCAATCATTACATATTAACATAGAAAATAAGTGACATTCTAAAATAATTATAACCCATATAGCATTCTCCACATTGTCAGCAAAATACTTAACTTATTACAACTTGAATCATATTCACAGTGCTGCTTTTAATCCATTATCTACTCACACCATAAATGCCAATGAACTTGACTTGTCAGTATTAATTTTTCCTTATTCTGTCACATAATATGGTACAGTACTTTTCCATGAGAACATCACAACAGATTACCTGAACACTGTCAAGTATGACCCTCATAGACTGCACCTGCCTCTGTATTGGACCTGAGATTTGTTGATAGAGTTGGGCATCAAAGTTGCTCATCTTGATTTCATTTAATCTACACAGCAAAAAATGAAGATTATTTTAATAAACAATATAATAAAGACTGTGCACTCCTGATTTTGGCAGTGAAGTCAATATAAAATTATTTTTATTTAAAACTACTTTCATTTGTATAACATTCTGCAAACATTAATCTTGATAATCAATTGGTATTGGTTAAATCACCAGACTCTGTCCAAAAAAAAATCTTTATTGGATATCACCATTTATTTTCAAGACCTATATTATAATTATAAAGTGAGTTTGTTCATGTTTATATTTTGTTTTCATTTTTTTCCAGAAAATATGTTAAGCTTGTAGGATAAAAATAAAACCAGTTTTTACAATAGTTGAACTTATTAACTTAGTGTTATTTAATATAAACCAAGTCTTATGACTCGAACATAATAAGCTGAGCAGTTTTCTTGAATGTTATTATGTGTTCTAAATCTTCTGGATGGAAAAAGGCTGACATATTTCTAATAAAAGAAAGCCCATATTACAAACTTTAATATCTTTGAAGAAAGAAAGTTCTACTTACCTTTCCTTGAATGCCTTTTCTGCCATTTCTCTTGCAGCTTTCTTAACCTTAAAGTAGTCAGAAAGTATATTTCATCTTTTTTATGAAGTAGCTATTTAGTATTCAAACAGTCTGTTTAGAACTCTCAGATATAAAAGGTTGTTAAGTATAGGTAGTATTAATTATTTTTTGAGTTAATATTTCAAGATTTTTCAGCTTTATTAGAATAAGAGAGTTAAAAGAAGATGATTATTGGAAGTTGTGTGTATAATTCATTGATGTTGGGGCTATTGAACGTTGCATGAAATTTATTGATGTAGAGGATATAGAGATTTCTAGAAGGCAAGCAAACAATTAAGTGAGAAATATATGAATAGTGTGAGATGAGTGAGAACAGCAGACAGACAGAGCAGATGAGAAAGTAAAGTCACGGGAAATAGAAGTTTGGCCAAGGAAAGTTAAGCATATAGTAAACTGCCATAGGAGTGAAAGGCCTAACGATTAATATGTTAGAGGAAAATTAACAGTATTAAAAGAGATAAGATGTATAGTTTATTCTGTCAAAGCAAGTTCTAAAGTAATTGAACCAGCCTGAGTGCACTTTCACAAAAGGAACAGATGATATCCGAAGTACAAAGACCAGACAATTACTGGAAGAGCAGTATACGACTGTGGTATCTCACGCTATAATTGTAAGTGAATTTTACACAGAATACTAGTGTGATAGAAATAGAGAAAGATAGTTCTACTTGTCAACTGAAATTCTAAAGTAACTGAATGGGCCTAAGTGGACTTTTGACAAGAAGAAGAAAACTATATATAGTGTTTGTGATATGCCTATGATCTATATAGTATAAAGAATTTGTTGTACATAAGTTTAACTAGTTCGTATGTGTATATATATATATTATTTTGAAAACAAGCAGAGTGGAGTGCGTGCTGTTCATTAATTTTTTAATTTATCGCCAACAAGTTGCAGACACCTACTGCAGAAGAATCCTTAGCCCAACACTCACATTTTTAAACCTTCTTACTAAATACTATCACTATATATAATATTAAGAAGAATAAATCACATTAGTTTGTCAATAACCTCCTTGTGGTTTTTTCCAAGTCTGCGTGTATATTTTAATAAGACGAGAAGGAATTACTGTGGATATCTAAAGAACATAACACAATATTTAGAAGACTAAATAAACAAAAATCTAACAGAATTCACAGAAACATATGGAACACAGGTTTACCTCAATTGGTACATTATTCTTTTCCCAATCTGGAACTTGATAAACATCATGACCAGCATCCAACCTGTATGGACCCCCTTTCCCTCCAAGACCTGCAGTGTCTCGCCCACCTGTCAGAAAACAGACAGAAATTTATATTTTTGAAAACAGAGTCCATTAAAAGAAAATGAGTTACTTGAAATTATAACACAGAAACAATCAAACAGAACCTAGAAACATGATAAACTAATATAATTAACAGTAACAGAGCACTATAAGTTAAGGATTAACCACTAATATATTTTACTTCATGATCTCAATAAAGCTCAATCTACTGTAAAATCAGTAGTATAATTAACAGTAACAGAGCACTATAAGTTAAGGATTAACCACTAATATATTTTACTTCATGATCTCAATAAAGCTCAATCTACTGTAAAATCAGGGCGATGAAACTTCTTTACCATGCCATTGCTGGGCAGGAATAAATTCCATAACTTAAGTGTCTAGAGAACACAGTTGGTGGTTAAAAGGCAAAGGATTAGTAATGATGAAAACAGAGAACTCAGCAGTTCACTGCAGAGAAATACTTAAAGCCAAAAACTACTTCTTGAGTAGCTTTTCTTGTGATTATTGCATGTTTAAAGGTTGGGTCTGTGATTCTAGTAATGAATGAAAGAAAGTAAGTAATTGTATAAAAGATATTTCCCAGACATACCTGCTAAAAACTACTGGTCAGTGATAACTATGTGGTGTTGTGAGACAAGACTGTGACACACATATACAAACAAATTATCTCATATAGGTAAAACAACACTCAACTATTAATTAACCTACTAATAAGATATGAATATGTCAAAATGACTGGGGTCAAGTGGGGTTTCTGAGAGGTTCCTTGGAACAAGAAAAACTGATTTTGAGACTTATATTTGTGTATTTCTTTTCTGTTCAGAGTTAGTGTTATGGCACAAAACAGTTTATTAATTGAAATTGTTAATTACTCTTAACTCAAAAAACGATTTTACATTAACTTCTTACCTGTGCCCCCAGCCCAGGTGTTTCCTCCAACATGGGGGGCTCCTGATGGATCAATACGACCGTGTTTAGGTGCACTAACACTCTTTCCACTTTCTTGTTCTACTGTTATCTAAGAACAATAATCTAAATTTAAAGTACATTACAAAAATAAAACATATATGATCAAAAGTATATCAGAGTCATGTTTTTCTTTATAACATCATTAATAACATTTTATTACCTAATGTCATATTATTATTAATGAATTCACTTATTATAAATGTAAAGGTTTGTTAGGCAAATGATAGCACACATAGTGAAGAGTTTAGGATTTATTAATGAAGATTCAATTTTTGGATATGAATACAATAAACCTATTTACCTATTTTCTTAATTACAATAGCCCAAATATATAGAAATCACAAAATTTGTTCATTTTTGAAAATGAATAGCTTTTGAACTTAAATCAATGAATAGCTTTTGAACTTAAATTCAATGAAATAGCTAACCAGCAATATTGTAACACACAGAAGTCATCAATTGTTGGCAGTAAATCTTTCTAAAATAGTTAGTTAAAATATATGAGAAGTAATGTTAAAGGGTGAATTTGGTTAGATTCTGGTACCTTTTCTCATGTACAGAATTGAAGACTATCTTGAATTACTTTTATTAAACAACAAAGGCTGTTTAATATTTGTTCATTGGAATTCCAGTTCTAATGTAATCATTTATATGCTATATACAATTGTATGTTTGATGCTTTTAACAACTCATAGTTGTACCTGTAAATCACGGCCTTCTTCAGTTCCAACAAGTTTCTTCCAATGATAAAGAGATTTCTCTAGTTTACTAGGAGCAAGCTCCCACATTTTGACATTTCCACGTTGGTCAACTGTTACAAAATCTTCACTGCCAGCAGAAGCCAAAATGTCATATGGAAAGATTTTTCGTCTTTGAGCACTTCCTTCTACCCTAAAAAAAGTATATATAACATCAAAATACAAAGAAAAACTATAAAAATTAAAAAATTATATTAACCCTTAATCTTTTTTTTACAGAGTGGAAATAATTAATCAAATTTCAGGAAACTTTGTACAAATTTAGTAAATAGTATGTATTTTCAGCATACAAAAAATCGCATACTTTAATTTAGTTTTCTATCATTTCTTGAGTTATGAAATTTCCAAAATTTGTTGTAAGACACTGTTTTGATAAAACAATAAAAATATTTCCTTTTATTCACAAATTTCAGTTTTTTTCTACTGTTGATTAGAAAGTTCTATTTCATATATCATGTCAGTTTTAACTTCATTGATAATCATAAAAATATTTATTTTGATACTTTATTTTTCCAATTGCAGTAGTTACCATTTCTGGTTACAAATTTTAAAAAACGGCACAAACTGAAAATTTGAGACTACTATTTTGACAAAAAAACAAACAAACATGTGTAATGAAAAAGGATGGTAAAATTTTAAAAAGGGGTGAAAGAAGAAATAGTGTTTAAAGTGTGGATATAACTTGAAAGGCAAAAATTTTGTTATAAGGCACTATTTTGAAATAATATTAAAAATGCTTCCTTTTGTTGTCAAAGTTTTTTTCTTTTACCATTGATCAGAAAGTTCCATTTTATATATTTTGTTAGTTTCAATTTGTCTGATTCACATAAACATATTTCAAAATTAATTCATACCAAATGTCATTCATACTGAATAACATTTAGGGATTGCTCAAGGTAGTTGAAATTTTATCTCGTAGCTCGCATTATATCTGCATATTCTGGAATATTCCAAAATATTCTAAGTAATTCTGGAAGGTTATAGATTATTCTGGAATGTTCCAGAGTATTCCACAGTATTTAGAATGTTCAAGAACATTCCATATACAAATAATCAATGCTGTCACTTTTTACTTCTGGAATATTCTGTATATCAGGAGGATGTAGCTTTTTTAGAACAAAGCTCAAATTCGAATTCATCCAGAACATAATGTCATTATCAAATTGGAGAAGCTTTGGGAAAAATGAGTAAAGCTAAAGAAAAATTCAAAAAGGAAAACTGAAACAATACATTGTCAATAACCTGGATGATTTTTTTTTGACATCACTCATAGGGATGCCCTTACCCTGATAAAGATCCCAGAAGACAAGAACTTTGTTCTTACTCAGAGGGAAACAGGGCATCACGAGTTCATGAGCCAGGTAGATAAGGTTCTTTCTTTGACCGAATCAAGGGTTGAGAAAAGAAGTGAGGCAAGTATGGACAAGAAGTGGTGCACAGAGGAAGAACAGTAACCTTGAATGCACCTGTCAGTTGCTGGAAATCCTCCAACAGCAATGATGATGAAGTTGATGGATACAGTGATGATGATAGAGGATCACCTGGAGAATTATAATGTTCTAAAACCTAAAAAGAGGGCAAGAAGAAATATTATCACTCCCAATTTAGCAGCAGCAATGGATACAACCACGTTAAAAGACAGAAAGGCAGTATTTCTCCTTATTGCCACAGCTCACAGCCTTGGTAGTGACGTGAAGGAGCTAACCACCAACCATTCCTCAATCTGAAGATCTTCACGTTGCTTCTGTGAAGAGAGAGCTTGTCAAAAATTTAAAGGAACAGTCTCTCTTGTCATTCTTTGGAATAGCAAACACCTTCATGATCTCACAGGGAAAGAACAAATGAATCATCTGCCAGTGATCCTGTTTGGAACAGGAGTAAACCAACTCCTAGGTGTTCCAAAATTCAATTCTAGCACTGGAGAGGATCAAGTTTTTGATGTTGCATATTTACTGGAAGAGTGGAGAGTCACTGATTGTGTAAAGGCAGTTGTTACAGCAAACAACACTGATGATAGAAATGGAATATGCATACTGTTAGAAGAAAGATTAAACAAGAATCTTCTGTATTTGGTATGCTGGCATTATAGCTTAGAATTTGTCCTGGAATGTATTTCCAGTGATTGTTTGAGGCTTTCCTCTAGTCCAGATATTGCAATTTTCAATTGATTCCAGCAATCTTAGGAATACATGGTCCAGACCAGTTATGAAACTGCAGCTGATCATAATGAAGCAGCAGAAATAATAGAGTAAATTAAGGACAGTGTCATTGAGTTTGCTACAAGACAATTTCAGATCAACCAACCTTGAGAGGATTATTGAACTAGCCTTAACCTTTCTGGTGGCATCCTTCCTCATGAAGTGTGATTTATAGCACCTGGAAGACTCCATCATGCTCAATAGATGGCAAAGGCATTATACGCCCTCAAGATCTGGATGTTTATGGGATAGTGTAAGCTCACTGGCTGAGAGGAAAGAGAACTCCATAACATCTGCATCTTTATTGTTTAAGTCTATCTTAGGACAAGGTTCACTGCTCCTGATGCCATTTCTACTCCTCATAATGATTTTAACTTCCTGCAATGTCTCATTAAGTATAAGAAGGTGGATTCTGCTCTTTTAAAATCTGCCTGTTAAAAATTTGCTGGACATTTGTGATATCTGAGAGAGGAACTCATTGTTTTGGCATTCTTTGATTCAGCTGTATCCACAGAGACAAAATGAGCAATGGTAAATATATTAAATGAGAAGAAAGACATGGAGGAACCTCCAAAGAACATCCAGCTGAATATCAAGAAGTCTTAGAACATATTAATTGAAGGTTTTGTCACAAAGAACACAACAGACTTCTTAGATACCTCAAAATTTCATCTGGATTATGACCCTGAATCATAGAAACTTAGAGATGACTACAGGTAGGTACTATAGAGAGTTCAAAACTTGATTGTGGTAAATGACAATGTTGAAAGGAGTGTAGCCCTTATTGAGCTGTATAATCTCATCATAACAAGAAAGAGAAGAGCAGAAACAATTCCTCTTTCAAGTTGTGTACAATCCTAACAGTAAAAATGGAAGCAATAACAATGCAAAAGTGACAAACCACATCAGAATCATATAAAAGGTACATAATTATATAATTACACTATTGTACATGCAGTAAAGTAATAATATACTTCAAATAAGTCATCTATAATAAATAAATTTTTTTTTATGTAACATAATATATACAGTAACAGGCCACTGTAGGCTAAAACTTCAACCTCATTGAGCAACCTCTAAATGGATGAAGGTTGACATTTAATGTTGTTGTTTTTTGAACATTGTAACAAAATTAGGAAGTGAGAGCTTAATAATTTTTAACTTGAAATTTTACTTGCAAATAAGGACCACTCCAATATATATATATATATATGTATATACATAACCAAAAAGCA